CTTCCCTGAGTCTGACCTGCAGTCTGAGTCTTCTAATAGATTTTCTGTCACCTGTTGTTTTGTTTGACGTCTTCTGTATGTTTTGGTGGTGATCTGAAACGTAACTTTTACATTTGGATTATTACTCGATAAGCCAGTTTTTTAGTGCCACTCTTGTGTCATGTGGCCTTTTCTCCCCGTTTCCTGTGTAACAATGGCTCCTGTACTGTGACCCTGAGAGACGGCGGGAGAGAAGAGACGGTCTCCTCTGCTGAGACCGTTTATGTTGAGGCAACAGGAGGAGGATCAGCTGATTGCCCAGACGCAGCTCTCTCTGTGGACACAGCTTTTCATTTAATGGTTTTTCTTTATTTTCATGATTATTTACTTTGTAGATTCTCTCGATTGAAACAAAAAGTGTGAAATAACCCAAAACATGTTTTATATTTAGCTTCTTTAAAACAGCCCCTTTGCTTTGATTACTGCTCTGAGCTTCATGAAATGCTTTTCCTCAGTCGTGGTTTCGTAGCAGCTGTTTGACCATAAAGGCCTGATCCACACAGTCTCCTCTGAACATGCAGAGATGTGTCTGCTGGAGCTCAGTGTGGCGTCTATCTGAGCTGCTGCTAACCTGCGGTTTCTGAGGATGAATTGATCCTCAGCAGCAGACGGGACTCTTGGACTTCCTTTTCATAAACATGTGAGCCCGTTTGGTCGTAGCGCTTGATGGTTTTTGTGACTGCACTTGGACACATTCAAAGTTTTAGCAAGAAACTCCACAAATGACCCCTGACCTGTGAAACATCTCAGGTGTGCAGCCCTGCCAAAACAAGCAAAGGGCAGCAGCTCAGAGGAATCTGAAATATAAAACACATTTAAAGTTATTTAACCTTTTTTTTTCTCTGCCTCCAAAGATCTGGGTTCATATATTTGATGTCTTCAGTTTGTACAATGTAGGAAGTAAAACCAGTAAATGAGAAGGTGTGTCCAAACCTGTGGCTGCTGCTGTACATCATCATGTCTCAGAGGCGGCGCTGCACACCGTGCTGCTAATTCTGTGTGTGTGTCACCAAACGTGTGAACCTTCATCACATGTTTATATAATCAGCTGAAAGATAAACATGAAGCCAGTGCAGCATGACTGTGATACTCCCAGCATGCCCTGCTGGTGTCCTGCAGAAATAAAGTAGTGTGCCTGCTTTAGTTCAGTCACCACCAGACTTCCTGAGAGAAGGAAAAAGACGTTAAACATTAAACTGTTGAACGAGTTCATTCAGGATTCGGGTGAAAGGAACGAGCGCGGTCACTCTGACGAGTCCTCTGCTTTTACCATTTCTCGCTCGGCCACTTGGGGCCAGTTTTGAATGAAACTGTCGCGCAGCTGCTCAGTGTGGATGAGTAGAAACGCCAAGATGACTGGAGAAGCTTCTGAGTCGGGTTTAT